GTGATGAGCGATTTAGTGATATAAGACGAAAGGATATTACTTGGAGAGGATCACCAAAGGACTGGGATAGGCAACAAATACCTCCATCTAATAATTGTAATTGGCGAAATCCCCAACCTGATGACTTTGAGAGGCGAGGACCTCCATCTAATAATTATAATTGGCGAAGTCCTCTGTTTGATGACCGTGATAGGCGAAGACCTCAATATGCTGACCTTGATAGGCAAGGATTTCCACGTGATGACTGTGAAAGATGGGAACCTGACGCATGGAGGCGCAATCGTGGTACTGCCAACAGAGGGTCACCTCCAAAAAATGACAGAGGTCATTGGAGAGGATCTTCCAAAGATGATAGTAGATATACCTGGCGTCGAGAAGAGCGTGGTAGAGAAACTCGCTGTAGCGTTAAAGAGCAAGACAGACATAGAGATGACCTTGGCCCGATAAGAGTGAACAATGAATCTCCAAATGCCTTGAGACATGACAGGCCATCAACGCTATTTGATCGGTACATACCACCAATGCGAGTTGATAGAAACATGCAGGGCCTACCAAATTATCGTTGGCGTGACAGACCCCAAGGAGAATATGAAGATAACAGAGCAATTAGCACTAGACCACCTCCTAGAGATAAAGGTTCACAGCCACTTAATGACACTGATCAAAAACGTCAAAGAAACAGAAAAGAACAACCGGAAAGGAATGACGAAGAATGTGACGGTTGGCAAATTGTTTCTAGGCGATAATCTTGAAGTGGTAGTGAGGAGACTCTTTAAGGAAGTAGAAAAGTGGTCTAGAAAAAGTTGGAAATATAGTTAATGTTTAATTCTTTCATTGTAGTTTTCACATGTTACAATAACAATCTATAAACAGAATAAATTTCTATCAGTTTGGTTCACTAAAATTCAATTAGTAGGTATAACTAGGACTAATAGATTCGATTTTAGATTAGATTAGATTAGATTAGGCGATGTAATACATTATATAACCATTCTGAGTTCTCTGACTGGGTGGTATTTAGGTTAGATAATGTAAATTTAAATAAGCAGAATATTGTTGTGTCAATCACTATTAATGAAACTAGCAATCTTGAAACACAATTGTTCAATTGTATGAGTCACATATTTATACTATACATGCTATCAACTGTACCTACATTTTTAGGGTTTTATTACGAGAAACATGTGCATTTTCAAAGTTGTCAAAGTTGACTAGTGACAACCACAACAATGTCAGAATATGATAAAAAAATATTTCCAAAATGTTCATTGAATTTCTGTGTTCAGTTTTCTTGTCACCACAGGACTAACAGAGGCTGATTTGAAAACCTGTAATCTTTGCAGTTTTGAAAAGCAAAGTACTTTGAAATCATTTGTTACATGCGATACCAGAGCACATAAAAACATGTTACCAAAAAGCAATCGTTTATTATTCCACTGATATTTCTAGAACTATTTACTGAATTCCGGTAAATCATTTTTTTTTCTTTTATATGTTTTATTCATATAATATTCAAAAGAATCCATTACTTCAAAATAATTTTACATGTCAAAAAGATATAAAAAAAGATAATTGACACCAATAAAATAATAATAATAATGATAGAAAAGAGAAGGAAAAAAACAAATAATGGGGATGGGCTGTTGTTAGTGTGTGTATGTGGGGGAGGGAGTAGATTCATTCCTTTTTTATAAATTGTTGGATGTCATTTATTTAAAATGACTACGCGTAGATAAACTCATAAAATTAACTTACAAATATCCTTCAATCACTTGCAGTACTTTGCCCCATTTTGTTTCAATTTTTTTTTTCAGTTAAAACATATTTTTCAATGTTAATTTGGTTTCTGATCTTACTCATAAAATAAGCTATTGTTGGACTGTAACTAGTAAACCTTCTACAATATAAGACATATTTACCAATTAGTAATAACAAAGTTAAAAGAGATTTGTTTTCCAGTACTCCGAAGATAATACTTGAACATGTGATAAAATTTATGTTATCATCAGAGATCTTTCCCCAGAATTTGTCAAACGAATTCCAATATATTTGTGCAGTTGAACAATACCAGAACAAATGTTCAAAATTGTCTTCCTTTTGACAATATTTACACAAACTATCTGTTCTTAAGTTATTTTTGTATAAGAATAAATTTGTTGTTACAATTCTGTGTAAGATTTTAAACTGAAAGTTTCTCATTTTTTCTTCACCTGCTACCTTATAAGGTAACTCCTAAATTGCCTTCCATTCTCCTGCTATGTCCCGTCCATAAATCATTGACCCATATTTAGTGTCTGAGCTTGGGGGTTCAAATTTACTTTTTACCGGTATTTCAAAGAAATCTTTTGTTTTACCCTTCCTATAATCAATTGTATTATGAACATTTTGTCCAGATCCATTTTGATGGAATTGCCGAAATAATACCTGTATAAGTTATAAAATTCACAGCAATATTATATTTTTCAGTAAACTGACCACAAGTAAGAAATTTACTATCATTATCTAACAAATTACAGATGTGTCTTACCCCACTGATGTGCCATTAACTGTAGTATACAGAGCTCCCATTGATCAAAATATATTTATTATTCCAAATTGTTTGCGTTTTAATTTCCTGTACACAATTCGGTTCTTTCTGTTTATTTATCTCACATCAATATCTTATAATATCCATGTAAAAGGGCGATATTCGACCCTTTACTTGGCCCGAATCATAATTGCACTGGAGTAAAAATCTCAAACCCCCATAAGTTCTAAAATAATAATAATGACTGAATACATCTATAGTTGATTCTGATTATAATTTTAGTAGCCCAGAAAGTGTTATTGCTTTGTTCGAAATTTCAATAACTACCATACGAAGGCCTCCGTGATCATAGTTACCAATTAGGGTATTGCGTTTTATATGGTGTTTTTTTTACCCTACCTCAAAATAGTAAAGACGTAGCCGCATTAATATCATTACTCGGAGTTGAGATCGCAGTCATACACCCGATTTGATGCACCAAAAACCTTAACCAAAATAACCTTTCTTTAAGAGTTAAATTACGTGATTTCCAGGCTGACAGAATATTTGAAATTTTAGTTATCTTATTATCAAATTTTAATTTCCTATTACACCTTTTACTGTGGCCTAGGTAGATGGCTAAATATCTAATTGGCTCATCAGTGGGAGAAATATCATCTATTTCCCGCCATTGCCCTTTCATAGTACCCACTCGCGTTAATCCTAAGTCCAGAACACTTGAGAAAATAATTTAACAGAATAAGAATGTGCTTAACTGACACCTGATTCCCTAAAAAGAGCGTGGTATCATCTGCATACCCCATAATTCGATTTTCATTGTCATACGGGAAATGTACCCCTTCAATATCCTTACTGGTACGTATAGAAATGGCAAGGAGTTTGTAGGCAATTACAAATAGTGCAGTTGATAAAGGACAGCCCTGTCGTATACTCCGTGATAATCCAAACCAACCTGTGGAAAACCCATTGTTTACAACACAACTCTTAATATCATTATAAAATACATTTACCCAACGGTTAAATAAAGCACCAAAATTAAATAAAGGCAATGCCTTTTATTATAAAGTACCTGTCACACGCAACGTAATATTACCGTAATTGGTATAGTAC